CAAATGAATTTTATTGTGAGTACAAGGGGTACTCAAACCCTTAAATATCAGTACATGAAATTACATGTAGACAATGTGGTTAAGACAAAATCATCCACCATTCCAAAAAATAGACCCAGGAAACAAATACTCCCATAAAGTCTCTATATCCTGTTTGTCAAGCATCTCACTGAATTAGAAATCCATTCCATGTAGGAGAAATTTTCCAAATTCAACAGATTTCTAACCCAGTGAAATGAGCGTGCTTGAACTAGTTCAAGTAGCCTATCCTCATTTAACTTCCTATGTTGGAAAGTAGTTTCATTTTTGCTTAACCATAATGACCAAACTACAGTAAACCATAACATGCCCCATCCCTTTTTTAAGCTCTTTGACCCCCTGTGCCATCTATGTTGGGTGAATACATCAATACAAGTGTTTCCTAAGACATAATATAATCCCCACCAATTAAGGCATTTTGTCCATAAATTGTAGGAGGTGCTGCAAGCTAGAAAAAGATGTTCTGTATCTTCAGGAAGTTGATCACACCAAAAGCATTTTATATTTTGAGTAGCATCCAAAATTCCACGCTTTGCTAAATTAACCTTTGTAGGAATTCTATCTAAGAGTAGTTGCCATGAGAAAGCACTCACTTTTGGTGGGACTTGCGCCTCCCATATTTTTGTGTACTCCAGTAGCCTATTCTCTTCTTTTTTTGCTAGCTGCACATAGGCTGTCCTTGTGGTATATCTTCCCCCAGTCTCTAGACTCCAGCACCAAGTGTCCGTTGTGCCTTGCACTAGTTTTTTGTGTTTTATTGTCTCCAGCAATTTTTGCAAATTTTCCTCTTCCCAAGCTCTAAGTGGTCTTCTCCACTTGAATTTCCAATCCCAACATCCGTCGTTCCAATGTCCCATTTGATTGATGCTGCAATTCTTTTCTATAGCCAACAAAAACAGCCTTGGAAAAACATTAGCCAAAGAGGTCCCTCCCACCCATGTGTTTGGCCAGAATCTAACAATTTTCCCTTCTCCCAAATTCATTTTGAAATTCAAAAGCAACCACCCATCTTTGCTATCTACACCCGTGTTTAATTTACAAATATCATTCCACCATGATGATCTCAAGACTTTTTCCTCACTCAACCATGATAACCAATTTCCATCCTTGCTACCATATTTTTCTAACAGCACCCTCGCCCAAAGGCCCTTCTCTCCCCCTATTAATCTCACCCACCATTTGCCTAGCAAGGGCATATTAAACCATCTAAGGTTTTTTATCCCATCAGCATGGACTGTGGGGTCGTAGGAATACGTGGCACAATCTGAACTTGGGTGGTTGGGCCTCTCGAAGTAGTTTCACCGGCTGGTCAGGTTTTCCCAGTGATGGTGCTACGTGGGCAGTGCTTGGAATTGCTGCTGGAGTCGTAACTGAACCGGTGCTAGCCAACCATTGCGGAACCTTGCCTCTTTGACTCGCGTGCGTGTACACATTTCACGGTTTAAAAAATTTACTTCTAGTTCAAGAGGCTATCCATTCTATGAGGCGGCTAAAAGGGAAAAAAAGGGCCCTGGCATTCAAGATAGACCTCCATAAAGCCTTCGACAGTGTAGATTGGAACTACCTCAGGGAAGTATTGATTGATTTCAACCTGCCGGATCAATTAGTTCGATTGATCATGTTTTCAGTTACTTCATTGCAGCTTTCTGTCATTTGGAATGGAGAGGAATTACCTTACTTCCAGCCAAAGAGAGGTCTACGTCAAGGCGACCCCTTATCGCCGTACCTCTTCATTATGGTGATGGAGAAACTCTCCCATATGATTATGAGTCGATTGCAAGAACACAAATGGACGCCTTTCCGATTGTCACGTGGGGGACTAACACTTTCACATTTGTTTTTTGCAGATGATCTCATGTTGTTTGGGAAAGCTTCAATCACTCAAATTGAAACTATTATAGATTGTCTCTCTGAATTTGCAAGACGATCAAGATTAGAGATAAACTTGGGCAAGTCTAAGTTATTTGTTTCTCCAAATATCCAGGGACAGTTAGCAAACTCCTTCAGTTCTGCTTGTGGCATCCCTCTAACGCATGATCTTGGCATTTACCTTGGGGTGCCTATTATCCATGGCAGGGTCAAGGCCAGAAACTACAAATATATTCTTGAAAAGATGCAGATTAAGCTTGCAGGGTGGAAACAGAAGTCCCTAAGTCTGGCGGGTAGGAGAACACTTGTGCAATCGGTAACCTCCTCGATACCAACCTATACCATGCAAAAAGTTCTCCTTCCAAGCAACACATGTTCAGCCATAGATTCCTTGAATCGCAAATTCCTTTGGGGTTCAGATATACAAACTAACAAACCACACCTTGTCCATTGGAATGATGTATGTTTACCGAGGAGATATGGTGGATTGGGTGTGAGATCTGCCAAAGAGTGTAACAAGGCTTTGATTGCCAAGTTAGGCTGGCAAATCCTTTCAGGGAGTGAGAAGCCATGGTGCCAAGCTATCAAGCATAAATACCTTCATTCAGCTCAGCGAGTTTCTCTAGTTGCAAGCCCATGCCTTCTTCATCCATAACGTGGCGAAGCATCTTAAAAACTAGAGAGGTTTTACAGTTGGGAACACGATGGAGAGTAGGATCTGGCTATAACATACAGCTTTGGAATGACATCTGGGTAGGTAACTCAACACTTTTGGAATCTACAATAGCCCCGGTCCCACAACACCTACTTGGTATGAAGGTCTCTGATATCATTAGTAATTCAAAATGGAATCTGATACAACTAACTGATCTTCTTCCAGAAAATGTACTTCAACTTATAGCAGCCATTCCGTTATCAATATCTGGCCACTTGAATGATCAAATTTATTGGAATGCTGCTTCATGTGGTGACTTCACCGTAAAGTCAGCTTTTAGCCTTATTCAACAATCTAGAATTCCTAATGCTCCTAGACCTGAGGACTGGACCTGGATTTGGCACTTAGGCTGCACCGAGAGAGTGAAGCTCTTCATTTGGTTGCTTTGGAGAGGAAAAATTCTCACAAACTCCGTTCGCTTCGAGCACCACATGGCTCCTACGCCAGTGTGCCCTCGCTATGAGCAATCACCCGAAACCCCTCTACACCTCCTAAGAGACTGTTTCTACTCGCGGCTAGTTTGGCAGTCGGTGAGTCTTCTACCTACTAACTTCCTTTCTCTGAACTTTGATTCTTGGTTGAAAAGGAATGCTATCACACCAAGGCGAAAGACCAACTCTCCGGACTTATGGCCATTTGTCTTTCTCGCAACCATCTGGCACTTGTGGAAGAGTAGGAACAAATTGGTGTTTGAAGGGCAACGAATTCCACCACATCTTGTTGCTAACCAGGCTCACACCTTTGCTTTGGAATCAAGATTTGCCTTGGAATCAGTTAATCTGATTCATGACACTAGAGCTCCCAGATGGGTCTCTTGGACCCCACCACCACATCCTTATCTTAAACTAAACACCGATGGATCCCACAATCATCACTCAGGCAAAGCAGCAGCTGGAGGACTCATTCGTGATCACAACGGGCGTTGGGTTCATGGCTTTGCTGTAAACGTTGGTCTCACAACAAGTTTCTTGGCTGAGTTGTGGGGTTGCAGAGAAGGTCTCAAGCTTGCTCACTCTCTGGGGATACAGCAGTTGGTCTTAGAAATGGACTCTTTACTTGCAATACAACTCATTCAAAATCGGCAAGTTTCAGCCGGACCAGCCTCGGTGCTTCTTACGGACATCTTCATGTTGATAGATTTCTTTAGCAGCTGCCTGGTACAACACACTCTCAGGGAGGGGAATTTAGCTGCGGATTTTATGGCATCCATGGGTCACGAATTAACTTTGGGCACTACACCTTTTCCCACACCTCCGGTGGATATTCATATGATCTTACAAAGTGATCATATAGGGACCATGTTCCTTAGGCGGTAAGCTGAAACTGTAGCTTCTGATGTACCAAAAAAAAAAAAAAAGAATAACGTGAGCCAATAAAAGTGAAAGTGTTGACCGGAGATTACAGGAGGAGGCGAGTGCCCCTAGCACCCCTCTTATAATTTTGGCAAAATCCCTTTTTAAGCCAACTTATCTCAAAATAATATTTAAACTCTTAAACTAAAAATAAAGTAGATAAGTTCTCTAACTCTATTAATAATGTGAATAAACTTTTCTCACAAACAGACTAAATGCTATTTTATATTTAATATCACCTTAAAAGCATAAACATCCATGAATGAGAAAGATTTATTTGCATGATTAATGGGATTGAAGAAGAGCTTACCTGCTTAATTTTTAATTTAAGGCTTTAAATGTTATTTTGTGATAAGTTTGGGGGCTTTTTGCCTATAATTTTTTTTGGATTTGCGCGTTCCAAAGAAAAAAAAAAACGCGTCCTGGGACCACATTTTCTCTATATAAACCGATTGAATCCCAGACTAGACCTCAGAAGGGGTGGGGGGGAAGGAAATCTTAATTCTAGGAATTCCTTTTTTTTTTTTTTTTTTTTTTCACTCCTCTCTACAATGGCGACTTCAGAAGAGGTTGCCAGGAACATGTTCAAAACGTATGATAAGAACGGCGACGGGAAGATCTCCTTCGACGAGCTGAAAGAAATCCACGCCGCGCTGGGGTGGAATCAGTCGGCTGAGGAGGTGCGGAAAGCAATGGCGGAGATGGACAAGGATGGAGACGGCTTTATCGACCAGGAGGAGTTTATCGCTTTTAACAAGGAAAGCAGCAGCAACGAGAACCAAGAACTGAAGCAGGCCTTCGATATGTACGACCTGGACGGGGACGGGGTGATTACCGCCAACGAGTTGCATTCGGTGTTGAGGAAGCTTGGGGGTAAGTGCACGTTGAGTGACTGCAAGAAGATGATCAGCCAGGTCGATAAGAACGGCGACGGCAAGGTGAATTTCGAGGAGTTTAAGAAGATGATGAACAATGCCTGAGAGGGAATTGAAGAACAACAAGTAGGTTTCGTATATACTTCAATGTGTATAAAATTAGTCCATTATTTTTGCTCTTTTTTTAGGGTTTTCATTAAGTGGTAAAGGGCGGAATTTTTAGGACTTAATTAGGAGTACTCTTTTTTGCTTTCTTCTAATGCTAACTCGTACTACTTTTAGGCAAAACTATATTAACTCTCTTAATTAAACTAACTTCAAATTTGCTATTGGTCCTTAGATTTTAATTAATGCATGAGTCCTTTAACTTTATAAACTGAGCAATTTAGCTCTTAATTTTTTAATGACGGTAAAAATTAAAAGCTAAATTGTTTAAATTGTAGAGTTTAAGGGTTTATATGCATCAATTAACATTTAGAGACTCAATAGCAAATTTGAGATTAGTTTAAGGGCTTACTGTATGGTTTTGCCCGACTTTTTACCATTAGTTATGATTCAATAAATTTTCTTAGAAGTGTTGAATCCTAAATTCTTAAAAAAATTATCATAAAAAATTTTAATAATTAATAATGAAAAATAACCCTTAATTAATTGTCCAATTCTTTAATTTAATTCGTCTAATAATTATTATTTTTTCTTTAAGTATGTAAGTCCGTTTTTTATTATTACTTAAATGGCAATGGAACGGAAAACGGTATTGATTTTGTTTGGTTATGGGGTTAAGGAGGAAAAACCAGAGAGCTACCAAAATTAAGCAAAAACAAAAGAATGGTCAAGATTAATGGTACAGTAGGTAGTTTGACTGACTTTTTCTTTTCTCTTTCTAGACTTTTTTTTTTTTTTAATATTTTGGAGTAATGATGGAAGTGGGCACGAGTGAAAAGGGTTTGGGAAACGAGATATCTGGTACACGCGAAGTGGTGGTGAAGTAATGGACACGGAAGGATGTGGGGATTGGTCATTGGTGGAGTAGAGGGAAAGTGTGTCAACAACACTGGCAATGGAATTGCTGAGCTCAACGCGGAAAAGGGGTCACTTTCTAGAAAAATGTGACAAATAACGCGGAAACAGTTGGCTGGTCGTTTCCTTGTTTCCACTGGTCTTAATTCTTTAAAGGTTAAACTCTATTTTGGTTCTGAACTATTATATGGACTTTCGAATTGATCCTTGAACTAAAAAAATTTTTAATTTAGTTTTTAAACTATTGTACAGAGCCTGAGTTGGTCCCTAAACTATTGTACGGATCTCAAGTTAGTCC